TCGGAATCCGGATCGGTATATACGCACAGATTCTCGCTGTGTGGTTCGCAAACTACTTCCTCCTCTCTGAAGCCCAGGTACTCCGCGACTCGGTCAGCATCTTCAGCGTCGCAATCCTTATCGTCACGTTGATCTACGCTTCTAATCCGGCCGATGTGTATGCCGTAGAAGCATTCGTTTTGCTACAAATACTGGCGTGGAGTTGCATAATGGGTGTGCGCGCCAAATCGTCGTACAGCGAAGCGACCTTTTCGCGCGGCAGCTTCCTGAGGAGAGTCGTGTGCGAGATCGTCAATCTAGTGAATATTTGCCTGCATATCTGGTTTTGGTGGGCAGGTTTGGATGATATGAAGGAGACGCCGTGTGGCACGTGGTTGATGATGTATGTGGTCAAGACGGATCTGTTTGGCTGGGCGAGGAAGGTGATGATGGCTATGAGTCTGTTCGTTCTGCTTTGCACGATTTATTGGATGGTTCTGGGGTTTCTGAAACCGTGGACTGCTTGGAAGGTCAGCGAAAAGAGAAGGCAGTTCGTCGAGGCGGTCAGGGCATGGGAGGAGTCTCGGGGACAGAACTTTGGCGAAGAGGCTGTTGAAGAGAAGGACACGGAGGATACCTCAAAGCATGGAGCATCTCACGAAGCATGTACTCAAGCTCTATGCTCACGCTGTCTACCAGCGAGAGTCGATTTTGGGCCCGCCCGCCCGCTCAATCTGGTTCGCACGCGTTCAGATCCCCTGGCGCAAAGAACAGTAGAGTGGAGATACCCTTCTCGCATCATTTACCTGGGATACTCCAATCGATCATCCCACGTCACTATTCAAGAGGTCCCTTCTCCTACAACACCGACTTCGCTATCGTCTTCTCACACCAACGCAAGCATCTCTCAACCTTTGCCGGACCTATCCATCATCCATGAAGTCTACGAAAGCGAATTGTATATCAAACATTGCGTCGCAGCGAGCCCATACCAGATGAGCGCCGACGACAAACCTCTCACCTTCCCAGTCATTGCACGATCGATTCTTTTTCCGAAGACGTACCGCAACACAACTACTGAGAGATCAGCGCCGCCATCTTGGCTTCACTGCCAACTACACAGCTACATAGCCTTTCTGACATGTCGCTTCCCACCCCAAGCTTTCGTCATTTACTCGCATCTACGCCAAGCCCATCTCCTCGATCCACTCAACGGACCTTTCCAAACATACGCCGCTATAACATATACTTCAGCTCCTTCAACCCCGGATGTCATACCGCCATGGACCTCGGTTTCGTTGGCTTCATCTCTCTTGCTTATGAACCCTGCAACGCCCAAGAAGGTCTGGCTCGGATGGTACTACACCATCCTCGATCTACTTATCCACGTCATCGTTATCCTGCAGCTCGAATTGACCCTGCAATGGAATCAAGTGAGAGGTTTGAGTGGGCTATGGACTAGTGTTGGGCAGTTGATTCCTTTCATCATTGGTGTTGGTGGGTTGGGGTTGGTAATCACCAGATGGGTTGTGCGGATCTGGGTTAAGAGGGTTCTCGCAAGAGGGGAGAAGAGTGGGTGGGAAGTCGATGCGGAAGAGAACAATAAAGCTGATGGAGACGATGGAGAGAACGTGGTGGATGGACTTCAAAGAGCAGGTGTTAGGCAAGGGTATGAGAGGTGGAAGAAAGCACACGCAGCAGAGCAAGCAGGACGAAACGGATGACTTATGCTGCAGATAACGGCAACACAAAAACACGGTTCGCCCTCGATGATCGTTCAGTCTGTGATCGGATTACAGAGTGAGTTCCGGCCCCCAACTCTTGCGGCGCAGCGAGGCAGACTCTTCATCCGCTGTGCTGCATGCGACCCGACAAGGTGGCGTCACAGCCGCACCTTCATGTATTGAAAGGTTATGAGTTTCCTTCTGCGCTTATTCTACACAAATTCCAGTACGGATTCGCATATCAAATCCATCGCAATGGCCACGTCTGCGAGCTACGAGAAGAAGCCTCTGATAATGCTACCACGGGAATCATCACCGGCACGAACGCCAAACTCGGAAACACATCCACCATCACAGTCACCATGCACTCTACCGCGTCCTCCGTCTCCTAGCAAAACAACCAATAAACCACGGCATCCTCGGGTTCGTCGCAACAGACCACGCACTTTCTGGAATATACGCAACACGATAGCCATACTCATGTGTCTCATTGGCATCCCGTTCGCTTGGATCACCTACTTCATCACACTCCCTTGGGTCATTCCCTCCGTACACTGGAGCCCCGTCCTCGCCTTTTTCTTTCTCCCGTGGTGGGTGTACACAGCTGCTACTCTTTGGAGAAGGTACAGGCGATTTAGAATGAACAGGACGATTGCAGATGACGAGGCTGTCATTGGGCTGTTGGATGCTGACGAGATTCTAGAGGATGGATTGGATCTGCATACTGTCGGGTATAAGGATGGGGAGGAATTTGGATTGAGGAAATGAGAGGGTGTTGAGACAGAGATGTTTGTGGCGCGGTACATGCTCATTGATTCGATGTTTGGCTTGTGTACTTACGCCTTCATATATCTTGACGCCACTTAAACTAGGAAATCGTTTTTGGTTCGGGTTGCATATGCTGCCAAGAATCTTTCGCTAAGATGAGACATCAAGTGGCGCAGCAAGGCAGATTCCCTAGCGCGTACCTTGTGTGCTACTGTGCCGCATCGCGCATGAACACAGCCTTCCTCTATTCATATATTCCAAACAAAGCTTCTCTTGCTGCGTTTCCTGTACGAGACCATCTCCTCACTTCTCGTCAGCATTGGATCACGATCACAACAATATGTTTTCGCAAAAAGAACACTTTTTGCCACAGCCCTCGGCTTATAGCGAGAAACAGCCGGATTCCCATCCACCACGAACCAAACTTCAATTGACCCTTCCACCAGGTCTTCGACAATGGTGGGACGACCTTGATCGCTTCCGCTACGAAGACCAGCCACTGTCCTTCCGCACGTTCGGGTTTATGGCCTACGACGCGTTCTTCAGATACATCTTCCTGCACATTTTCCGTTCCCTTCAACCACACGAAGTTGTCCGTCGTCTGTATCATCCACTTTTGTTTGCAATCGTGGGGGTTATTATGGACTTGCTATGGAAGAAAATGGTGAAGAACAAGTGGAGGATGAGAAGAACATTGGGGGACGACGAGGCAGAAATTGGGTTGACGAAGAGGAGTGACCTATCGGACGAAAAGGCGGACTCGTATGCAGTACGGAGAGATAAAGATAAGGGAGTTGAGTTGGCGAAGAATCAGGGATTCAATTGGAGATGGTGGACAGGACTTGAGATGGCGAAGAAACAGGGATGTAGTTGGAGATGGTATGTCGCTTTTCTTCTGTGGCAATTTGTATGCGGTGGTGCAATGATGTTGACTGCGGCGTGGTGGCAATATGGAACGGATGTACGTGAGATGGCCCCATTCCGAGACACTCATGACAGCGTGTCTTCTTGAAAAAATGACTGGAATGTACCTGTATCTTCGATGGACTCAAACTCGATCACCTTCGCAATTTGAGGTGCGCAATATCCAGTCTTCCAAGCGGTGTTTATTGAACTTGACTCAATTTTGCATCCATCTGCAACAGACAATGACCACGCAAACGCACTTCCCGACCCGAACCCTGCCCACGACCCCCTTTAAAGAGGTCATTTCACCGACTGTCGATAGCGAAATACCGCTCTCTTCTCCTAGCGCAACACCAATTTCCACGATCGACGATGCCGAAACCGAAGGTCTCTCGATCTATTCTCTCAAGATCGTCTTATACACGTCGATCTTTTTAGCGATCGTCGCATGCGTTGCATACGCCATGTGGTATCTCGAAGATGCGGTGGCGAGCTTCCTCCTCTTCGGCGTACTCACCTCATTTACGAACATAATGTGGAAGCTGTGCGGTCGAAGACTGTTTCGGGAGTGGCGACACAGGAGGGCGGTTTCGGATGAGGAGATGAGGTTGATGGATCAAGATGAGGCATTTGTCGGAGGAGGGACTGCCATCGAGGCGCTTGATGCCGGCGATACGGACGACGATGTCTGGTGATAACGTGCCTAATGGGCTAATTTGAGCTCCTGAATCCCCTCTACGAGCGCTTCTGTAGAGTTTTCGTTCTCCAAGGTGCGACGCACTACTGTTGATACTCTTTCCCGAGCGTGCTGCAATCGGCGGCGTTGTCGACAGGCGAACCTGCCTCGTTGCCTTGCTGCCAAGCCTACCTTCCTTTGCGCGTCGTCTTCCGTATTTGCGATTGTTAAGAAGACCTCAAAAGATCTTCTCTCGAGTTTTTGAATGGCTTGGACAACTCTCTTGATCATGGCGCGGTCGTTTCCACTCACTTCGTCTTCGAGGCTCGCTGGGGAATACCGAAGGTGATGCTTGACAGTATATATAACCGACGGATGTTCGCAAAAGATTTGTATAGTCCGCAGTTGGACATGTGGCGGACATCGTTTCTTGATCGTGTTGGAGGCCAGACCGAGAGCGTGTAATATAGCAAGTAGCTCAGCTCTTTCGCGTGTCTTGACGTTTTCGGTCGGAAAATTTGCGCGTGTAATGCCGTATCTACGCTCTTCGGTAGGCAGTAGTTCTGGCATTAAGGCGCCCGTTTTTGCGCATCTAGTCTGCTGTAAGACGCCGATACCAACACCCTGCCCTTTCACGTGGTCCACGGCAGTATGTAGCAGCAACTCCAACTTGACCTTTTCTGGGAATACGGAGTTCATCGTGTTGAGCTGATAGCGGTAGATTCGCGTTAGTTCGTTTCGTTGTGTGTAAAGTGCAGTGAGACGTTGAGCAAAACGACCTTTGCTCGGGCAAACAATACTGGACTAGCGAGACGACTGCACCACGGTTCATGTTTGCGTCATCCGCTCTACCAGAATGACATGGTCATCATCATTGAACACATGTTTATTCGGCTATTTCGATTGGAAGAACCTAATCAGAGAACACATGAACCAAAAGATACACCTTAGTCACCTTTCTTTCCCAACTCTTCATCATCCACCTTCTTCTCTCGAATCAGCCTTCCCAACAAAGGAAGTTTGCGCGCTGATCGTACCATCTTCATTGTCAGTTGCTCAAGCGCACCGAATCTCAGCCATATAACGACAACCAATAGGGTCAGACTTATCGTAGCCACGAAGTACAGATACACCCAGTATGTCACCTTCGCGTCGTCATTGTCGGGAGAGAAGTCCCAGAATGTAGTACTAAAGAAGGTTGCAACAAAAGTTCCGGGCAGGAAGATTAGAGTGATTGTTGTGATGGTTCGCATATCGGCACCGTACCGGTGGTTGAGTTGGTTATCTCTTTGCTGAAGATTTGCGTGGATCTGTAATCATAAGCATGACTTTTAACAGATGTCGCAAGAGAAACACGTACCGTTTGTGTCATAGACTGGACAAGTGTGTTGCCTCGTTTTGATATGAAGCCGATATTCTCTGAGCACACGCGGAAGTATATCATTTGCTCTTGTAGTTCGGTAGAGACTTTGGTGCAATATCCATCAGGTAGGGTTTGGAGCTGATACTCTAAGCAATCGAGTGCCTGCACGCAACAAGAGCAGTAGTACTGAGTATTTGCTAGACGAGACGACAGTACGTTCAGGCGTTGAGGTATCCGTGTGAAGTTGGCCATCTGATCGAATGCTACCTCGTGATTTTCATCGTCAAAGCCCATGGTTTCTTCTAGCTCTAAGCACTCCATGAAGACTTCTGTCTGCATTGACCGAATGTCATGTACGCTCATAGAGAGCAAAACGATTGGCAATAGAAGTGGGTTTGACCCAAAACTCTGGGCGTGTTGGAGACGTCCGATGACACGAGCAATGTCATCTTCTTCCACGAGGCACACTCCGAAGGTCCGTCGCGTTGGGCCGTTATGCATAATTGTAGTCCTGCTTCTATTGAAGTTATGGACAAACCCTGAACATTTTGGTAAGTATAGATGATCTATAAGGGAGACGTATGGTCGGCAGGCTCAAGATGTGGCGATTGGCAACCCGTCGGAGTCAACTCACCCTTCCAGTCTTTATCACCCAGGAGAGGAGAAAAGGCCATAGATATATCTGGACCCGCTCCCAATGAAGGAACATAGCTGTATGGGAGATGCCAATGTGCACGCAGAGCTTGGAGTGTATCCAGTGAGAACGGGACAATACCTGGCCCAAAATCGACATAGGGGCTGACCACCATGAGGCTTCTAGGGCTTCAGCAAAATTTTATGATTGGGAAGTTTGGCATACTAACAGTTCCAGAGACCAGTCCGTACCCGGGGGTCGCGCCCCCGTTTGCTCACACTCGACTGCTATATCACTGTCGCACAACTCCTTTTGGTCGAACTTCGCGCCATCCTATGACTCATTAATTTTGTTAAGATAACTCGCATGTTGGTCTACTTACGCTGGTTCCGTGTATTGATATAAGGATGTGTCTATCCTGTGGGGCTACCTTGTCTGGATGTTTCTTCCAGTCGTCATACCGCCATGGGAGGTGATCTATCACCGTCATCGCAGTCTGACTACTCTTTGCGTTGATGTTTGCGAGATGAGATAGGGTTGAAAAAAAAAAGAAGAAGAAGTTGTGCTAAGTACGCGAAGTAAGCGTGCACAAGGCTGAGGCAACAAGCCTTCAGCTCACCCTTAATACATGCGAGTGCAAGCCATCGCAGGGCGATCGGTAAAATTGCGACGAATGAGAAATTTGCGAACACAGCTGCGCGTAGCGAGCACACGAAGCTGAACGAAGATGTGATGGACACCAGTAGTGGCTAATCGTGTCGCATACATACAGTCAGATCTTAGAAAGTAAGCAGTTGCTGAGACAATATATGATTCTATCTACCTCGATAGTGTTTTGAAGAATGCGACACGAATGCTGGCGACAAATGGTCGTCGGGCTGTGCAGGAGTGAGATGATCCCCGTGGCGCGCCGTGACCCCCAAGGCTGACTGCGGCTAAAGGGTGGCAGTCGATATGCAGTCATTAATATCATTCATGGGGCGGAACGACGCCAAGTGTCATCGTAGCCATGCATGAGAGGCCAGGCTGGATTGCCTGATCGAAGGACAGCTTTTCAACATCTTCTGATCGTCTTCCGAAGACGCGTCGCGGTCGCGAACCTGGTAGCGTACGAACGAGAACGTCATTGCTACTTCCGTTGCACTCGCATTATCATGTCGTGGAAGAGGATTATGTCACTGTAGAAGATGGGTCAGGTCCACCAGAGAGGTTCGGTAACCAGGGTGGTAGGGCTTTGATTCCGAGAGCTGAACGCGCGCCCGCAGGTGAGCGCCCGCGTGCTTACGTCATTGATTACTAAGACCTGAAAAGCACCCGCCCGCGCATCGTCTCGGGACACGGCCAGTCACGAATACATCACACAATGTCAACAAAGTCAATCGCGAACTTCAGTAACGCAACCGTGGGCAGAGATAAGAAGGGATACATGCCACGTTCTTCCCAATAGAAGTACATACAGGATAGGCCGCAGGGGGACACATACTCAGGATCAGTGCACGTAGCCCCTAGTTCATCATTCCCATCCACTTCCCCTGCAGGTCGACCGATCCCACGGTAGCCACGATCTTTCCACGCCATCCACCTATTCAGTTGTCCTCAGCGACAACAGGCTGATCCCGCACACTCTGGAACCACCTATCCAAATCCTCGAAATGTTTCTCCAGCTTGCTGTCAATGCTCTCAACGACCGGTAATGGCGACGCGATAGAATTTGAGGCACTGGAACCCGGTGATAGAGTCCGAACGTTCGACGCGTCCTGAGCACGCTCCAGATCCTCTTCCGCCTCATCCACTAGTCGATCAATCTCCTCCGGTAACAAGCCCTCGCGATCGAGTATGTCCTTGATCTTCTCCGCTACTGCAATCTGTAGCCTGGCCGTGGACTGCCGCTGTTTTAGCGCTACAGCAAAGTTCTCCAGTGACTCCGTAAGAGCGTTGTTGTCATTCTTGATGCGGTTGCCGCAGTTTCTCTTCGCGCCCTTGACTTTAGGCGGCGCAGGCATGGTCTTCGCCTTCTTGGTAATGAGCTCGACGTAATCGATAAGAGTTCCGTAGTGATCCAGATATGCTTGATAGTATTCCAAACGCATCTCATTTAATTTTTGGTGGAAGGTACGGAAATAGGTCGTCCTGTACGCCGCGGTTTGGTCGGACGCTGCCTCGGCCTCTTGCAGCGCTTTCTCACAGGTATGTGCCATGTTGAGTGAAAGCCGGGCCAAGTCTCTCATTCTGTCAACGATCTTCTCGTACGATCCTACTATCCGTTCCAGATAGGCCTCGGAGGTGACTTCTATGAATACCATAAAAATGATGGGAATGAGGAATTGGCGACCTAGGAGCGAGGATGCGGGCTGGATGAACACAACGTGGATCAGTGTGTAGAGAACAAGAAGCAACAACGCGCCTGGCGAGAAGTAGCGTCGTTTATGCGGCGATGTGTTAGCAAGTCTGCGCAGGACCTGATCGAGCTCGTCCATCATCGCATTCTCGATCTTTTGAAGCGTCTCATCATCTTCCGAGGTGAGCGTGTCTTTGTTGATGTTGGGGTCCATGGCAAGCGTCTTCGGGGTTGAACATGGGGCAGGTGTAGACATTGCGCTCGTTGCCATCGCTATCTTTCCTTGGGATGGCTCGTGGTGTGGTAGCATTATTCGAAAGATCACTGGCTACGACAGAATACCTCTTCATATAGGCGATGGGGTGGGACGGATTATACTACGTCATTTGCTGTTTGTTGTTGACATCCTACCCATCAATCAGGCAACCACGTTACATGACCCCACGTAGTTTGCCCAGGGGGACTTGCGAGAAAGAAAACACCACATCGTATCTTGGGAAACCGCGACTGGGTGTCAACTGTGAAGCGCTTGTAGGAAAACATCCGCTGCTGGATGCGCGACTTCATGAGAAACAGTTGCTATGACAAGTAAAGCGTACGAAACGCTCGCACACATGTAACATTTCATCGCTCCCCTACCTATGTATGCACCACTACTCTGATCCCCGCCCTACACCTATTCCTGCTCCTCATCCTTATCCACCTTCCTCAAATGATTCCTAACCCTCCAATCCCCCTCACAATACCTTTCCAGCCTCTCCCTATGCCCATTCAACCTCACTTCCAACCCAGGATCAATTTTAGCAGGAGCAGCAGGATTCTTCACCAGATCTTCCAAATGCATTAGATACCCATCCACCACCGCCGCCTTCTCCAGATCACTCTCTACCTCGCGGATAAAGCCATCAGCTCCCTCGTCTTTCAATGCGCGCAAAGTCTTCGAGTACAGGATTCTTTCAATATTCTCAGCTATGTTCAGTCGCGTTTGTGTTCTTGATCGCATCATGTAGACCTTATCGAACGGGATATTTAGCGCTGGAGAGTCGGGGGTCTTGTTATGGGTTCTGGATAGATGTTCTAGGAAACTGATGGTGCTGCTTTGGTGCTTGTGGAGAGATGTGTAGTGCCTGAGACGGGCTTCGTTGATGCGTTGCCGATGCATGTCATATGCGTCTTCTCTACCCTGGAGACAAGTAGAAAGCTCTTCCGATAACGCCTTCTTCTCGTCTTCTCTACCCTGAAGACAAGTAGAAAGCTCTTCTGATAACGCCTTCTTCTCGTCTTGTAATCCCTTTACCGTATCCGCATTTTCTCTTAGAGTTCTCTTCTGTGCGTCGATGGTTTTTTGCAGGTACTCGATTGTGATGGCGAGGACACAGATGAATATATTTGGCAGGAAGAATGCAGGAGCCAACTCAGCCAAGATGAAGACATCGCTCGTGAAAAGGCCGGCGCGGAAGTGGAGCAAGCCGTAGATGGTGGGTGCCCAAATTGTAAACTGCACAAAAATGCTTCGGAGGTACTCAAGCGTGATGTAGCCAGCAAACCGTGACTTTAGAGGCACTTCCGTGGTTGTTGGGACGTCGGTATTCGTGGCAGAGGACTCGTCTCTTGTCGCTCTGTCATCAGCGTTCGGCTGAGTCCGATTGTCTGGGTCCATAGTTGCAGTTGAAGACTTAGACCGTTCTGTATGATGAGCTACGAACCGTCGCGGAACGACGGAGAAAATATACTAATGCAGTGTTTGTACGTAAGTAAACGCACAAAGCGCTCCCTAGTTTGCTCTTCGCAATCCCGCAGTCTATCATTTCGGAAGCCAAACAAAGCCTAGAAGGTTCGTGAAACCGGTCGCCGAGACTTGCGTACAATTAATCGTCCTCTACGACGTGACTATTCAACAACCTCATCAAACCCCAGTCCATCCAAGTTACCCAAAAACTCCATATTCCCCTCCCCAGCCATAAGCGCATCAACATCAATGCCGCCACTAGTAAGATACCTCGCACTAACCCCCGTATTGATCCTCTGACTAAGCAAATGCTTCAATTCCGCTCTAAGAGCGTGCATCTCTCCCTTCGTCATCTCACTCGCCTCCTTCTCCTTCTTCTTGCGTCCACTACCCCTTCCCCTCTTTCCAGGTGCTTCCTTCTCAAACTCCTCGCTGTCGTAGTCTACGCCTAGATCTTCGGCTGCGCGGCGTAGCACGTCGTCTTCGCTGTGTTTCTTTTCCTTCGCGATGACTGTGTCGGCGAGGCGTTTGGAGATTGTGGCGCGGGGCTTTAGGCGGGAGACGATGCGGCGGTCTATGTCTAGGGTGCGGATGAAGAAGGCGGTTTTCTTTGATTTGGGGGCGTCGCTGGCGCGGGCGTGCACTTTGGCGACGAGGCGTCGGACACCACCGACTTCTTCGGGGGCGCAGATGAGGATGCTGGCTCCTGAGGCGTCGGCGCGGGCGGTACGGCCGGAGCGGTGGACGTAGGTGTCTGCTGCGCGGGGGAGATGGTAGTGGATTACTAGGTCTATCTTGGGTATGTCGAGACCTCTGGCGGCGACGTCTGTGGCTACTAGGATGGATCCGGGTCGCTCTTTGAATCGTTCGATGGAGCGTAATCGGGCTTTCTGGGGCATGTTGGAGTGTAGGGGTAGAGCTGGGAGAGCCAGATTTGTCAGGAATGGCGTGATGCGGCGTACTGCCGAGATTGAGTTGGTAAAGACGAGAGCGCGCTTCTTGGTGTAGAACATGAGCAGCGAATACAGATAAAGATCCTTCTCGGGTCCGGCGCATTCGATGAGTCCTTCTTGCAATCTGCTGGCCATCTGCGAAGTCGGGTTGGCGTCGATGAACATTGGCTTCTCCTCGCGGAACTTAAGTTTCTTGAGCAGGTACTCCATCGACTGTTGTTGATTCATCAGATCCCCACCACCATACTTCTGCTTCCCAGCGAGCTTGTGCTGCAGTTCCTTTCCGAACGTGGCAGAGAACACAAGAGTTTGCCGTTGAGATTCAGGCGCTTCCTCGATATCTTCTTTCTCGTTAGGCTCATCATCGGGCTCCAGGACTTTGAGAATTTCTGCCATTTCTTTGAAGTGTCCTTGACTCAACAGACGATCAGCCTCGTCTACAACCAGGAACTTGATTTGCTTGAACTTGGGTAGTACTCCTGAGCCACTGCTCATGACTTCCCACAGTCGACCTGGTGTTCCAACAACAATGTCGGCCTTCTCTAGTTGCCTACGCTGCTTCTGTACGGACAGACCACCTGTGATGGATGCAATGTACGGGGAGTCGAAATCGCCCTTCGCGCAAAGGGCGATCAAATGATCATTAATCTGATGCGCAAGTTCACGTGTTGGCGCAATGATCAACGCGATGGGCGCCTTGTCCTCGGGGTCTTTGGGCGTCGAGCGAGCAGCAAGGTACGTCTCGACGATTGGGATGCCGAAAGCGAGTGTCTTTCCTGAACCTGTCGAAGCCTTGCCGATAACATCCCGCCCAGACATGATCTCAGGTATGGTAGACGCTTGAATGCTGGTGGGTTTCGAGAATTTCAGCTTCGCCAATGCACCCAGCATCTCTTCAGAGAGGTCGAGTTTAGCCCATGCGCGCACATCTGTCTCATCATCGTCGTCATCGGCGTGGTTCGCCAGTATATCCCAAGCGCCAGGTCCGAAGGTCTCGCCGTCCTCGCGGTCTTCGATATCGGAGGGTTCGTCATCCTCGGCATCTTCCTCCTCTTCGACCTCATCTAGCGTCGGCAGCTCTGCCTTGGCCTTTTCCTCTGCCCCCCTCTTAAGCTTCGCTTCCTTCGCTCTCTTCTTCTTCTCAGTCTTTGTCAATTTCTTGGCCTCCGGCTCGCCATTGGTAGCACTTGCGTCAGCTGTATCCTTAGCGTCTGCATCCTTTGTCTGCTTTAGGATTCCCGTCGGCGCATCTTCCTCATCGCTGAAGCCCTCCCACGCGACCTCCTCATCTGCTTCCTGCAGTTTCTTTCCTACGCTCTCGTCTTGTCCCACCACCTTCTCCTCGTCAAAGGTAATCTGCTCCAAGCGTTTTTGCTCGTCCTCCTCCCGTTGCCACGCTTCCTCGACATCCTGTGCCACCTCATCTTCCGTCTTTGTAGTCTCAAAGGTAAGATTGCCCGTAACAGGGTCCTTCACAATCTCAACATCTTCAATCTCTTCCAGTCCATAGAAACCCTCTGTATCCTCCAACCGATCGGGCATCTCCACGGTCTTCCATCCTAGCTCGTTGAGTTGGACTCGGCGCTTGGGTCTCGTGGACGGAGGAAGGGGTTTAGGGAAGTCGTCGAGTTTTTGACGTTTGGGTTTGTGACCCTTATGCGACGCTTGTTTCGGGGCGGAATTAGGGCGCTTCATGGTGGCTGTGGCGCGATTGAGGTTTGTCGTGGGTTGGATGCGCGCGCCGTGAACTTTTTGGAAAACTTGTCGGCCTTCGGGAGTCCGCTCGCCCCACTTTTGTTCTAGCCCACTTGCGCTTTCCCACACTTCACGTGCGCATGACTCGCACGTCAATTAACATTTCTGATTTGACACTATCTACATAGGAGAAAGACACAGAAAGAGCAGGGATACGTTGGCGAAAAAGATCAATCAGACGCGGGCAGCATAATCTCACGGAAGCCTCACAGCCTTCGCATCGCTCTACAAAGCAGTGCAAGGGCAACCCCACCAAATCTCGACAGGCAGATATCTGATCATCCATCCAAAATGGGCAAATCCTCAAAAGACAAACGAGACGCCTACTACCGCCTCGCCAAAGAAGAAGGCTGGCGCGCCCGCTCCGCCTACAAACTGCTGCAACTAGACGAAGAATTCAACCTCTTCGAAGGCGTAACGCGCGTCGTAGACCTCTGCGCCGCACCAGGAAGTTGGAGCCAAGTTCTCTCGCGCGTGCTGATAAAGGGGGAAAAGTTTGGGAGAGCGGGATGGCAGGATAAGCAGAAGAATATGCGGGATTATGTTTTGGGCGGTGGTGGGGAGAAGAAGGAGGAGGGGAAGCAAGAGGGGAAGCAAGAGGAGGGTGTAGGAGGGGAAGGGGAAAAGAAGGTAGACTCGACACCAAAACTAACACCAAGGGAAGGAGTGAGGATAGTGGCTATTGACCTACAACCCATGTCCCCCCTCGAAGGCGTAACGACCATGCGCGCAGACATAACGCACCCCTCCACCATCCCCCTCATGCTCAAAGCCCTCGACCCAGACACCTACGACCCCACCCTTCCCCCGTCCACCCGCTCCTCCCCCGTCGACCTCGTAATCTCCGACGGCGCCCCCGACGTAACCGGCCTCCACGACCTCGACATCTACGTCCAATCGCAACTCCTCTGGGCGGCCCTCAACCTCGCCCTATGCGTCCTCAAGCCCGGCGGCAAGTTCGTCGCTAAGATCTTCAGAGGCAAAGACGTAGATCTGCTGTTTGCGCAGCTCAAAATCGTGTTTGAGCGCGTGAGAGTGGCGAAGCCGAGGAGTAGTCGGGCGAGTAGTATTGAGGCGTTTGTGGTTTGTGAGGGGTTTTGTCCGCCCGAGGGGTTCATGGCGAGTTTGGAGAGGCCGTTGGGGGCGGGGACGGTGTTGCCCGAGCCTGTGAGGGAGGAGCTAACGTCTTCAGATGCGAAGAAACCGGAAAAGAAGGTTACGAGCCGGGTCAGGGAGGATGGTGCGATTGAGATTGATCTGGGGGATGAGACGGATGACGAGGATGATGTTGAGGAGGGTGGTCGGCGGTGGATAGCTCCGTTTCTGGCTTGTGGCGATCTGTCGGCGTATGATTCGGATGCGACGTATCATTTGCCAAAGGATAGGGTTAGTCTGGATCCTGTACAGCCGCCTACTGCGCCGCCGTATAAGAGGGCGTTGGAGATGCGGAAGTTGGCTGGTGGGGCGTATGGCAAGACAAAGGGAAGGGCAGAGAAAGCAGCGTCATAGTATAGGCTAGGTACCCTTTCGGAGTTATCAAACATCAGGCGGATACTTCAGCTCATGGTCCAGTAGGACGAAGGAAGAAGATCCTTCGCAAACAGGGAATTCAGCAGTAGTCACGCGAATGAGAACATTTGAACTTGAATCTTTATTTCTGTATACAACAGCTAAGCATATCCCCTTTTAGGTAGTCCAAGATGAGTAGTAGATGCTTCTCCCATATTGAATGAACATCGCTCCCACAAGATCACCTTAACCCCGAAATATGCCCAAAGCTTTTGATAGTAAATGTCATCGCATGCCCAAAATGATCATGAAAATGCCTAAGCACGCTCCCTACGGCCACCGTTGCCACCCTTGGAAACAATGTCGAGAATCATCTGGCGGGCCTCCTCGCAGCCATCCTTGGTACCGACAATCTCGATAGCCTCATCCTTGGCTTGATCGCGGGGGACCTGAATCTTTGTGCCGGTCTTCTTGCGCAGATCGTTGATTGTGGCACCACCGGGTCCGACAACGAGCCTGTGGGGTGTTAGTATGACTGCAGCATTGAAAGTGTTGCACGCTTGAACTTACCTGTAGCTTCTTGGGTCGGGCAGGATCAGGTACCCAGTGGCGGAAGGCTTGGAAGCAGCCTCGATAGCCTGCTCAAGCCTTTGACGGGCCTTGGGAAGGCTCTCAGTGGGTCCACGCAGGATCCAGGGGATAGTGGCGGAGGTA